CGCCTCCCAAATCTGCAAGGTCTCGGGCCACTGTGCTCCCTTCAGAAAGCTCTGCAAGATGCTGCCTTACCAAGATGTTCAGGCTTTCCCCCCCTTGAGAATCTTGTGTGTCCAAATAATTAAAGGAAAATGGGTATTATTCAGATAGATAATAGAAGTCAGCAGGGAATGCCTTAAGTGTCATTTTCTGGCGATATTATATTATTGAGATGAATGAGAAGGGCTAGGATCCAAGGGCTTATCTTTGTGTCACACACAAAGGAGCTGAAATGTTTGTCTTTGTAGGTGTTCAGACTTAAGTCAAAGAGAAACTAAATAGATTTTTAGAAAAGTATATATGTTGCCAATCTTTGAGCTTTTTAATATCATTTTTTCCTTCCACGTGTATGTTTAATGAACAGCATTTTGCTTGCAGTTTGTCTGATGTCTGAAAAAAGACGACAACTGTGTAGGCTGCTTTAGCATGTCTGGGGTGAAAGTTGCATGTTGATCAAAATGTTTGTCGCAATTCACCATGGTGTCGACTCCTGCACTATATGCGTAATGTCGCTTTGTTTTATGCCAGTCTCCCATGTGTACCGGATGGGTCTGTGCTCTTAGTGACACCGGCTGCCGGCATTCCCTTCTGCAGGGGATGGAGTACCTTGGAACAAAGCGCTACATCCACCGGGACCTGGCCACTCGCAACGTCTTGGTGGAGAGCGAGATGCGGGTGAAGATCGGCGACTTTGGTCTCACAAAAGTCTTACCCCAAGACAAGGAGTATTACAAGGTCAAGGAGCCAGGGGAAAGTCCCATCTTCTGGTGAGACACTCTGGTGGCCTGTTTGTGTGGCTGTAGCACAGGGGTCACCAACATGGTGCCCGCGGGCACCAGGATGCCCCCAGGGACCACGAGTCGCCTGCGGACCTGTTCTAAAAATAGCACAACTCACCAGTGAGCAGCGTCTAAAATCACATTTGCTTTTATATAGATTTGAAAATGACAATATCTTTAAAAAAAAAAAAAACATTTAAAACATGTTTATTGTACATAAAGTTTAGATAAGTTTAGGAGGGAGTTTCAAACTGGTAGCCCTTCGTATGGCTCAGTGCCCGTGAAGTAGCTCTGTTTCAAAACAGTTGGTGACCCCTGCTGTAGCACATGTAAAGTGAGTCTTTGTTCTGAGAGGGTCCTTGGAATGCAGGTGATTATTATTTAGAGAAGTTAAGAATACGGTGTGTAGATGGTCTGAACTCCTTTTGGCAATATAGAAAGCTTTTTATTAGCTATTTTAAAAGTAATTTCTGAGTAGGCTATGGTAGGACTTTTAGAAGCGAACTGGGCCATCACACTGAGTTGCGCCATTGGTGGTTGGGATGTCTTCATGAACCACCCGTACCTTCAGCCACGGTGATGGGCTGTATGCTGTGTCGCTGGTATGCAGGTACGCCCCCGAATCCCTGACGGAGAGCAAGTTCTCGGTGGCGTCGGACACCTGGAGTTTCGGCGTGGTGCTGTATGAGCTCTTCACCCACAGCGACAAGAACTGCAGCCCACCAAGCGTAAGTTAGCCTCTGCCCCTGTCAGGTTTTGCTCTCTTGTTGTAAATGCAGCCTGAATGTCACATGGTCCTTTTGGCTTTAAGCTTTCCTCTAATGCGGCTATTGCCGCGATAGGTATGGGAAACACTGGCATCGATCCATTCATTCATTTTCTGTAACTGCTTATCTGGTACAGAAATGGCATTGAACCTGGGGGAAGTTTTAAATGAGAAAATGTTGGAAATGTGCTTGCTTCTTTTGGCCCGTGTTCATGGAGGCTGATGAGGATTTCCGTATGAGCGTGTGTCCTATGTTCGCCACTTTTTCTTACGTGCAGGTGTTCATGGGGATGATGGGGACTGACAAACAGGGCCAGATGATCGTGTACCACCTTATCGAGCTCCTCAGATCAGGCTCCCGTTTGCCCCAGCCGATTGGCTGCCCTCCTGAGGTGAGACCTTCCAGCCTCTCTGAGTACTTTACTGGGGCTGCCTCCGAGGCCAGCAGAGCAGCAAGCCAAAGTCTGACTCCCGCAGGGTTCTGCTGAGGTTTCGGCGTTTTGAGCTCTGGTGAGGTTTAATGATGGTGGAATTAAGTGGCAGGCAGGGTGAGGAAGCTGGATAGCTAAGCTGCGGGAATGAAGCTGCCAGCCGCACAGAGGCTGTTTGGCTGCCATGTCCCCTAGTTAGCCAAAAGAGGGGGATAATTCACTGTCAAAAGCATGGCCATCACAAGCACATGGTATATCCCAGTTTTGGCTATTGACAACGATGATGTCAGCTACTACTACTGCTGCTGTTGTACCTCATGTATAAAAAGTCATTTTTAAATATACTTTAGTATAATAATATTTATGTGTGATACACATTTTTCGTTTGACTTTATTGGGACACTGTTGTTCTCAAGAAGTAAAGATTAGGCCTCATGTTATAAAGATGATACTTGCATTGGTGAGCCTTTCATTTGCTGGAATCCTGGGTAACCAGCAGCTGGCATGGGGGGGGTGTGTGGGGTGGGGGGCAGTAGCTAGGAATGAACTCGTAAGTCAGAAATGATGAGTTTGTAATCTGAAATTTCATCTGGAACTCCCTCTGAAGTTGAAAGTCCAGCTTGTATAACCCCAAAATCGAATTCAAGATGGCTGGACCCTTCATCAACAGAAGTGAAAGCCGCACTTGCATACTGTTTATTAGCGCTTATGTCTTATTTGTGGCTCATTAAATTGGTCGTAGACGGAGTACTGTCTAACCTCTATCTGTTGGTATGTTGCTTTGGTGTTTTGTTTGCGCAAAATACTGCGTTATGAGTTATCAACTGATATTGCAACAGTTAACTGGGCTAGAACTGTTTCAGAAAGCAGGATTTCTTGCTTAGCCAGATAACTTTTCATGGACATAGACTGTCTTGGGCTTCACAATGACTGGGTTGGGAAACGCTATAGGAACCCTTGAGAAACCTCTGCCGGAGAGCACTTGGATTGGGAACATTCCTGAGTCTGTCTTCCATTTCAGATATACGACATTATGGAGGAGTGCTGGAACAATGAGCCCTACCTCCGCCCCTTCTTCAAGCAGCTCTCCCTCCGTCTGGATCTCATTCGGGACTGCAGTGGGGGTTGAACATGCACACGAGCAGCACCTGAGCAGAACGTGAACACCTCCAGAGTCTCCCCTTTCCCCCCAGGATTAGGGTCAGCACTGAATCGCACTTACTAATGTGCGGGGCACACCTACATGCAGGTACGAGGCTGGAGGTCATGGGGGGTCAGGAGGGGGTCCCCTGAAAGAGCCCTGGGACACGGAGAACTGAATAGTGTGCCATCCAAGAAGAGGTAGGGATGGGCGTAACCCTTTACCACAACCCAGCGAGGACAAAACGAGACGGTATTGGTTTTTTCTTTTTAAAATTTTGTTCTTCTGTGGCTAGGAATAAAATGTTTTGTTTTTTTTGTATGCTGCAAATTGCTGATTGTACAACCAACAGTGAATGTAAATTAAGAACATTCTCTTAATATATGAAATCCACATGTATGTATAAAATCCTATTTTGTTTATTGTTTCATTGTCAGATTAAAGCGAATTAATTTTTCGCCTATAGTTTGTGTCTGCAGTTTTTAATGTTTGAACTTCCATAACCTGAACACCCCACCCCCCCCTACCCTTTCCCCAGTCAGGCCGTAAAGGAAGCAGAAAATCTTATTCCAAGCTGTTGGTTATTTTCACACACTGCGTGTGACGGGCACTGTGCATGAGTGTTTCCCGTGAATAAATCTAATCCTTTCCCCTCATCTGAATTTTTTCATTGTTTCCTGATGACATCTGAAGTGAATTTTTAACAAAAGATTGATAGGAACTGACGACAAAGTTACTATGGACATCTAAAATGTCTGTCATTTTTTTTTTCTTTGCAAAGCTCACAATTCTACCTCTATATTGATTGGGCAATTCAGTGTTATCATAATTAAACAAATGTACATTCAATCTGGTCACTGCTTGTTTGCATTCGTGCCAAACTTACTCTGTATTAATAATGCTAGCCAGCTAGTTATAAGGAAACTGAAACCTTATTTATGCCTGTTTAGGTGGGACAGCAGAATACAGAGAATGAAAGGAGGGAATTCTCAAGGCTCGGATGGTCATTTTATACTTTATATACTTTAAGTTTGTACACATTAACTCAGCATTTTCCCAAAGGGGATAAAACTGACTTCTTATCAAGAATGTCTTCCTTGGGCCAGATGCAAACAGCTGCAAAACACTCCCTTTTATGTTTTTGTCATTCTTTCCCCTTTTTCTTTTCCTGGGGTGAGTGATGAAACATTAACTAATCAGTGTGCAGACACATGATGATTCACCCTCTGAAGTTAAACCAAGCACAGTTTTGTCTCCTGTCCCTGTTCTAAACAATTGATAAAAATGCTGGTAACACTTTACTTAAGGCCATGTTTTTAGTAATTTATAATTATAATTCATAAAGCATTATAAACATTTATAAAACATTTAAATATAAAAAAGCACAACACATAGTTGTGATTATTATCCATTATGACTGTCTTATGAAGCTGTCAGCCTTAAGTAAAGTATTACTGCAAAGCTTTAAGTGGATAATGTTTAAATAAGATTTGGTATATCCAGTTTTATCAAGTGATAACTGAAGACTTGGCCTCAGTCAAACCATAGACAGAATACAGATGCAGAAATGTCACCATCCAACAGAAACTGCTCCAAAAGAAAGGTTTGCAATCCTTCGAGGTCGCAAGGGATTCTAGAGGAAACCCTAGAAGGGCACATCACTTTGTAATCAGTGTTCTTGAGGTCCACCAGATTATTTGGAAAAGCAGTATGTAACATTTAAATAAAATTATCTGCTGGTAAACAAAGGTGTATTTATCTGAATTGGTGGGACGTGTCTTATTTCACTTCCTGGAAATAATGTCATGAGATCTCTGTCCAGTTGCTATAATTAAAGAGGAAAACCTTTCATTAGAAAATGAACCTTCCAGTTAGAGCATTAAATATGTGGTTATGAGTGTGACTAGTTCATAATCTACATGTTATCTGTCCTACCTGAGAGTAACAAACTTAAAGAGCTATATTAACAACAAATGAAACTCAATGGTACTGAAATGAAACTGCAAGTTAAAAAAAAATGCTTTCAGTTTTAAACTGTCTTAGCTACAGCAGATCAGGGGGGAGAGGTAAGAATTTCAAAATCTTTACAATGAAAAGCTCTATTCAGAAATGTCTTCGTGAGTCTTATTTTGTCCCAAATTGAAATGTTTTCCTTGTCTTCTGATCACTGACAGGATGATTCAATATGTCTATAATGTACAAATAGCTGTAGAGTTGTTATATTTCTACATGTAGAATAGAATATTGAAAGTATAACGCTTTTGGCAGAGCATCCCAAGGCTTCCCTTAAAGCAAATCAGGGAGAATGAAGACGGTGATTTTGCTGCTGTTCTTTCTCCTCAGCAATTCCAAAGGTATGGATCACATTCTGTGTATTCAAATACACTGGGGATTTCATATTTATTTAATATTAATATGTAATTGTGTTGTTTCTTAAAAATGGACAATATAATTCAATAGTAAATAGTAAACTGTAAAAGTAGATTTCGGTTTATCTCAGAACAATCGCTACCCATTGTATGGATAATTATGTCTAACGCAAGTTTATTTTCTGTGTTTTTATATTTCATAAGAGGTCAGGGGCGCTTTAAAGCACGGGCTTTGAGGGAAAATTCCGTGTCCCGTTTTTTGGCCGAATACGGGACGTGATTTATTCGGTATTTTTTTGTCCGAAGCGAAACTTAACATAATCTGGTCCGCGTGACCAATATGCCCGCTAAAGTGATTTCGTATTAAATTACCAAATAAAAACTAATCTTTCAGTTATGTTTTACTATTTTAAAGCAATCATATACTTCATTCAGATTAGTGAAAGGAATACCTCAGGTACGTGCCGTTTTAAAGTTAGTTTGAAATTCAGCATTCGTGTTAAATTCAGAAAACCTTTTCGTTTATTATTGAAACATACAATACTTACTAAAATAACTTTTTTTGTGGACAGCTAGGTGACAGTACAGTACAAACACAAACCTGCAGTAAACGGCACGTTATATGTTTTATATGAGATATCGGCCGCAGAAACGTTGACCGGGCTTCTCTCGAATATAGCGTTAGCGTTAAATTTCTTTTCTGATAACCAGGTTTTAACTTCGCTATTTAATGCACCTGCTTGGTCACACTTACTCGATCATTGGCCGGCTACCCGATATTGTGTAACCAGTGTGTCACGAGGGAGAAGGCTGGGCTGACCGGAGGGGAAGGGTGCGCTGAGGATTTATGTTTATTTAACGCATAATAATGTTTTCTGCAAGTTGTATTTTCAATGACTGGCCAATAAAATAAAAATAAATAAAATGTATAATTATAGAATAATAAAAAAAAAAAGGTTCTATTTTCTTTTTATCGCCACTGTCTCTTGGGCCCCCAAGGAATCTTCCTAACTTTCCTCCCTTTACGGTACCCTTATTTCCATATATTACTGGGCATATCTCGATTCCAGTTTTTGGAATCGATAAGTCCAGTTTTTGCTAATTCTAAGATTCACAGTTTGTAAATGTATTTATTTGTTTGTTTCTGTGACCTGTTGCATGCAATGCAGATCACCAAAATAACAATATTCATAATTTTCTAGCACTCTTCACAGTGGAGATGAGTCCGAACTACCTGGCCGAATTACATGAAAATGTTACGATGGAGTGTCGATTTCCACCTGGAGATGGGAAAGCAGTCCTGTCTGTGTTCTGGGAACGCCTTAGTCCCCCGCCACGCGTGGAGGTCTACAAAATGGTCGACGGGAGGAAGGACGTTGACTCGCAGGATCCCCAGTTTAGGGGGAGGGTGCAGCTACAGGATGATGAGCTCACAAAGGGACGGGCTCTGTTACAAATCTCTGATGTCAAGATTAATGATTCTGGAACATACCAGTGTCTGGTAGAGATGGGAGCTGGTGACTACAAGCAGACTACCCTCACTGTTCAAGGTATGGAGATTGAAATTTTGACACATCGACTGTCCTCTAGGGGTTGCATGATTTTTTAAAGTCAACAGTTATGAAATAAAAATGGAGTCGATGACGACTAATTGCTCATTTATACAAACATGAACTTTAATAACATCCCATTCTTAATACATAGATTTTAATATGGAGTTGACCCATCCTTTGCAGCTATAACAGCTTCAACTCTTCTGGGATGGTCATCCACAAGGCTTAGGAGTGTGTTTATGGGAATTTTTGACCATTCTTCCAGGAGAGCATTTGTGAGGTCAGGCACTGATGTTGGATGAGAAGGCCTGGCTCGCAGTGTCCACTCTAATTCATCTTAAAGGTGTTCTGTTGGGTTGAGGTCAGGGCTCTGTGCCATCCAGTCAAATTCCTCCACACTAGACTCACTCATCCATGTCCTTATGGACCTTGCTTTGTGCACTGGTGCGCAGTCGTGTTGGAACTAGAAGGGGCCATCCCCAAACTGTTCCCACAAAGTTGGGAGCATGAGATTGTTCAAAATGGCTTTGAATGCTGCAGCATTAAGAGTTCCTTTCACTGGAACTAAGGGGCCACGCTCAACCCCTGAAAAACCCCAAACCATAGTCCCCCCTCCACCAAGCTTTACACTTGGCACAATGCAGTCAGGAAAGTACCATTCTCCTGGCAACCGCCAAACCCAAACTCTCCATCGGATTGCCGGACAGAGAAGCGTGATTCATCACTCCAGAGGACTAGTGTCCAGTGGCAGAGTGCTTTACATCACTGCATCTGACGCTTTGCATTGCACTTGGTAATATAAGGTTTGGATGCAGCTGCTCGGCCATGGAAACCCATTCCATGAAGTTCTCTACGCACTGTTCTTGAACTAATCTGAAGGTCACATGAAGTTTGGAAGTCTGTAGCTATTGACTCTGCAGACAGTCGGCGACGTCTGCACACTGTGTGCCTCAGCATGCATTGTCCCCGCTCTGTGATTTTACGTGGCCTACCACTTCATGGCTGAGTTGCTGTTGTTCCTAATTGCTTGCACTTTGTTATAATACCACTAATAGTTGACTGTGGAATATTTAGTAGTGAGGAAATTTCACGAATGCACTTATTACACAGGTGGCATCCCATCATGGTACCGTCCAATTGGAAAACACCTATTCATCCCCACCTGTCCTCACGTGTTCAGACCACTTCATGCAATACACCCCCCAGTGGCCAAAATCCATAATACACCCCAAAGTTATAAATGGCTCCCACACCACACTTGAACTCACTAAACTCCTGAGAGCGACCCATTCCTTCGCAGATGTTTGTAGAAGCAGTCTGCATGCCTAGGTGCTTGATTTTATACACCTGTGGCTATGGAAGTGATTGGAGCACCTGAATTCAATGAATTGGAGGGGTGTCCCAATACTTTTGGCAATATAGTGTATGCTGACAAGTGACAGCTCATACACATATCTTTTACGCAGAACAGAAACAAGTAGAAACAACAACATGGTACAACTCAGCAGCAACAATTTATGCATCGATAACACTTGTATGCTACAACTTCCATTTAAGTGTGAAACAAATAAGACTGAAATGTTGGGATAACCCTTTGGGGAGGAAAACAAAACTACGCAAGATCCAACCTGTAAGCCTGCTCCTCACTGTCATAGTACTGCTCAGTCACAGTTTTTGCTTTTCAATCCTGATTTGTGTGTGAGTAGATGAAGGCAGCAACATGACTTGCCCACTGTCGCGTAGTTACCTGCGTTCCACTGTTCCAGGTGGAGAAAAAAATCCTCTCGCTTGGGGTGCTGGTGTTTGGGAAAGTCAAGTAGGTTTTGCATAAATTAGCCAAATGAGGAATTCTGTCCTGATTGCTGGCCCACCACTGCAGCTGGATCTCCATGGTGGGAATATGCGGTGTTACTAAATAATCACAGAATTCTGTGATGCAGCAGTGTCCTGCTTTCCTTCCATGTTTGGTGAAGTTGCTGATTTGCTGCTGTCAAGAGGATTTGGATCATCCCTCAAATAGCCTTAGCAGATGCCTTTTTAGATGAATGTGCATGACACTTGTACTTTTGTTGTATTTCAGGAGAGACTTGCATATTTTGCAAGGGACAGGTTTCATCTTTAGTGAAGTATTTCCAAACACTTGATGCACCGCTGGTGATTTATTGCAAAGACCCACCAAGCTCCTTGTCTGGTGTTTTCTCTGAGGAGTCCATGTTGTCACGTGATCAGTGACTAGTTGCTGTCAAGCTTAAATCTCAGAGCAGTAAAGTCAACTTGGCAATTAGTCTGTGCAATCCTGGGTGTCCTCACACATGGCTCAGTGGTTTAGGACGCTGTACATGTGATCAGAAAATCACTGGTCCGAAGTCCACGGCTGCCAGAATGATTTCACCATTGCGCCCTTGAGCAAGACCTCCATAGGCCGGCTGATTGCTTTCTCAACTGCTTCTTTCAAAGAAATAGAAATCAGCTTGAGCAAGTTTGGAAAGAAGTGAGGAAAGGAAGTGATCCGCAGTAATGCAATTACAGAGAAATCTAGGCCCTTAGCAGTCTTGCAATAATGGCAATAAGAGAGGAGCATAGTATCATCAGGGGTGATACACTGAGGATGTATAGATGGAAGGAAATGTACATGTATCTCTGTGCTGAGACACAGTGAATTGTTAGAAGAAATAGCTTAATTGTCTTCTCTCTCTCCAACTATGGCAACAGGAAAGTGGGAGCAGAGGACATGGATAAGGGGAGATAGGAAAGGAGGATGCCAAAGACCACCCATTTGAAGCTTCAATAATATTATAGTTCAATCCATTAAGAAAAATATCCATGTGTAATTTAATTACTATGTGCAGTATTTAAAATGATAAGGACCAAGAGCGATGGGTTGGCGCCCCATCCTGAGTTGTTCCCAGCCTTGCACCCGTAGCCTTGGGGATAGACTCCGGACCCCCCATTACACTGAATAGGACAAGTGGTTACAAAAGATGGATGGATGATGGATGGCAGAGAGCGAACAGGCATTGCATGAAAGAGTTTACTGGATCTGAGAGCAAAATAGAAAGTGCATGTTGGACCATAGTGTCTCAGCCCACTACAGTAATGTCTCTGAAAGTACAAGAATCCCTTCCTTATGGACATTTGTGACTGAAAACACAGCTGACACACTTTGTGGGAAATATTAAAAAGTGAATTAATAAATGGATTCATGCTGCCATCCCCAGCTTGCCTGTATTTCCCAAAAGAGCAACACTAGTGTGACTGGCTGTTTTACTGTTAGCCTCTTACAGGAACATCACAGCCACAGCTCTGCAGGGCTGCTCGCTCTCACCCACCCCACTCCTGCTGCAGTGCCAGGCTGCAGGGTTCCCAAAGGCCCGGGTACAATGGACCGACACCTCCAGTAGCGTGCTGCCGGCTTCCCGGACCAACACCAGCCACACTATGACTCAAGATGGGCTTTACATTGTGACAGCTCAAGTAAAAGTCAACGGCAGCTGCGGGGAGATATATAACTGCAGCTACATAACCAAACACAGTGTGACATCAGCGTTTATCCACCTATCAGGTAGGTTTAATCAGGACTGAGAACAATTTCGTTTGTCGTTGTTTCCATTTAATCGCCAGTGGAACTGACAAAATGTCATTAGCATTTTTATGTGACTTTCACATGTGTGCTGCGTTCTTTCATAAACTGATCATTGTAGTTTCTAGAATCGTCCATCCAGATAATGCACTGACAACCTCAGACAAGCATTCAGGCTTTTATGTTGACAGTTACGGGAATGTACTCCCCCAAATTCATTAATTTGGCGAGCTCTGAACACTGAGGAGGGACACTCTTCCCCCATTCTCTGAAAACTCCAATTATAGATAAGGATCGTTTTGAATGGATGGAGTTGGGGCCCGATATCTGACTCTGAATCTGTGCTCTGATTGTTTTTCTTTTCTTTTTCAGCTCCATCCTTCCCAAAGATTTCTACCTTGTCTGTCATATTAATGCTAGGTGGTGCTTTATTGGGGATGGCTCTGTGTGTATCACTGGGGCTGATATTTAAGAAACGGGGATTTGGGCGACTCCAAGGTACGGGTCCAGATGCTCTGAATAGTTGCACACATAGTACTGTCATATTATTCCTTTATCTGACACCATCATTCAAATCCACTTACAGTTTCTCAAGTCAGTCGATAGAACTCAGCTGCAGAATTTAGCCTCAGCACTTTGCTGTATTCACTGGTGGCTACGATATGACAGAATTGCAACTACAACAGTAGTACAGGAATGAAAGGAGATTAACTCTAAAAGTAAAATTAATCTTTGGGCAGTAGAGCTTGGATCCTTTAATAACAATGAAACCATTTAATGGTTTAATACAGTTATTGGTGTATTACAACATCCTACACTTATTCAATGATCAATGGTTCTCAGTCCTTTCCCTGGAGGACTCCCTCGGCAGAACGTTTCCATTCCAACCCACACTGCTTTCAGCCTTCATTAATAGCCTATTAAGCACCATCTGAGCCTGAATTAAGGTAGGGTTGGAATGAAAATATTCTGGGAGGCACCAGAAACAGGACTGAGAACTACTGGTATAGTGAATAAGCAAGTAATATGCATAAACATGATATATCCTTTAAGTATTTATAGTGTTTCATTATACATGCAAGACTGAGAGCATCATATTGTGTTTCTTCACCAGGCAGAAAGCAAATTTATGTTAGGAGGAGGGCTTTTTTTGAACACCGCAGGTAAAATGCAATTCAGTTTGAATAGGTAATATGTTACTTATATAGGCTTATATAATTCTTCAAATGAAATTGTAATACAATTACTTGACAAGGATCATTTCACCAACCACGTACATGATCATAAGTATAGTCTATTTGACATATATGATCCAGTAGATTCCTTTATTTGAGCTAAAATGTCTGGATGACTTTATGTTCCAATTCTGCAATGTTACTTTGGCTATAGGACACATGGAAAGTCTTGAAAAAGGCAGTAGGGAAGATGAATTACAGAGACTGTAAAACGTGAGTAAAGCATCATTAATTCATCTGGGTGTGTATGTGTGTAGGTGGACATTCCATCAGGCTGACTGAAAAACAGTTTACAGGAAATGAATCATGGTATAGAAATATTCATTCTTAGGAATATTTTCTGTGCTGAATGCTCTAATCCTGAACTGAAACTGGACTTGCATTCATTGATAGTCAAACATGGTTTAATGATGTTATGATCAGCGATGTACCTAGAAAATGTCACTTTTTGGGTATCCATGCCCCTCTGACACACCCGGTCAGGATGATCCATGTTTCTTCAGTGGCACAACACAGAATCATTGTGACGCCCTGCGCCCACGGGAAATGTCGTCTAACCCTTTTCAGCAGTGTTGTGTATTTAACTAAATTTTGGTGTTTTCCAGTCAATTTTAAGATAAATATATCATAGGATTTGATTAATAAGAATGGTAACAAGATGCAGCATGTCTCCATTCTTATGCCTTTGTGTGATTATTTTTAATTCATATATAAATATTTCACAGCCAAAATAATAAAAACTAATTATGTTCAAGACATCTGTGAACAGTTTAGAGGACCCAAATCAGCATAGCAAAGTAAGGAAGGTCCAGTCAAGACTCTGGAACCTGGTGCAAGTAGTTCGGATGATGTATGAATTTATACCTTTGTTTTTTCAGATTACCTGGGACAATCTACTTCTTCATCATAGTGAATTTGCACTTATTTATTGTTACGCGGACGGCTTTTCGGAGCAACATCCATACTCAAAGGGTAGCATTTTGGCCCCACCCTTCCAGGTTTTTGGGTTTGATTACTACCCCGGCTCTGTGTACGTGTATCTAATTAATGTTTCTAATGTTCCCTTGTGTGTGTATCCTGTGATGGAATGGATCCAATCCCAGGTGTCCTCTGCCTTGTCTCCCAAGTGGGCTTGCTAGGATCAAGGGCGTAGATTTGGGTATGGACTGTAGGGACATGTCCCTGCTAATATTTATGGGAGTACCATGTGTGTTAAAGGGGGAGGGGGGTTCGGGGCTGATTTGGACCTGACTGGTATATAACATGGAACTTATGCATATCTATTAGGCTAAATAATATCAAATTAAGAAAAATAAAGACAATCAGCCTAGTCAATAGGAAATCACAGGCACAAAAATGCAAGGGTAGAAGACACACTTGGTTAGTTGTGATGAGCATGACAATGGAAATGACATGTTTTGCACTTTATTTCTACTTTTAAACAGTGTGAATATATAAAGAATTATAAGCATTAATGTAATTACAAGAAATATGTTTTTCTGAATGTGTGATAGAAGTACAGGGGTCACCAATATTGCAAATATGTGTTTGCATATTACAAGAGTATCTGAATAGTCTGTATATATTAGTCAATTTGTGCAATTCTTTTCTCTGGCTCTGATACATGCAGCTACTTGTTTCAGGATTTTAATGTGACCACCAGTTCATGTCTGCATGACGTGTCCCACTGATAAAACATGAGAATGAGCACATTGGCTCACTGGATAACACTGCGTCCTCACACCTCTGGAGTTGTGACTTTGATTCTTAGAACTGTGTCAGTGGGCTTTTCTTATACTGGCACTGAGTGCACATCGGGAGTTCTAGTTTCCATCAAGGAGATGTGGAATGGCACATCACCAACTGTAAGGCAGTTAGCATGATCCCTGAGTTAGAAATGCAACTTTGGCTAATGTGTAGGAAATTTCACAACTTTGTGGCCCTTATATTTTCATAAAAACAATGGATATTAACCATTAACATTATTTTAAACGGATTGATGTAGCATTACTGTATTACAGTATACTTTATTTTTCAGATTTAAATATTATTAATTAAATATATATATTATACATTTTCGTCGTCTATTGTGTTGTGTATTTCTGCTACTCTAGTGAACATATAAATACTGTATCAAATATTTAAATACCTACATCTGGAGAGGCTAATGATCTCAAAAGAATTTGAATGGTATTAATATCACTGTTCCCAACACCGTGTTTTGCCAAAAATTATTCCAACAAACTGCATCACTTCACCCTTAAGTAATTAAGCTCCTAAATCCACCGAGATGCTCCAGAGGCGCCTGATCAACAAAGTTCTCTGCTTCCATCTCCGATGCCAGGACGGCCTAATACCAAGAGAAGATTGCCACCACCACAGATATTCACTCAGTTTCAATGGCCTCCTTAACCCTCCTTCTCCCCCTCCATCAATCTCCCTGCTTGCTGGTGATTTTGCCACTTTCTGCCATGAGAAGGTGGCAGCCATTAGCAGCCAGTTCTCCGTACCCGACATCCACATGAATGACTGTTCCTTCATAGTCCTGTCATGATAATCTATGATAGACGGGTCACCGATCTTACAAGTTCATAAAGCTATCAGATTATTATTAGAGGACAATGGAGGAACACAATATCTATCAAGAGCTCATAGATCAGGTTAATCTTAGAAATCTGACAACACTTTGTATCAGCAAACGATTGATGTAGACATGTGTTTGGTTCTTTTACATAAAGACCAGGGAAACAAGAAAAGCATGCAAAAAAGTCCCTGTGTTTTTTTCCCCCGAAATGTATTATTGCATTTTTTACCTTATTTCCTATATTTCTTACACAACGACTTTGATATTTTTGATATTGTTATTTTTCATAACAATTTTACTTTGAAAACCTTTTGTTTTTGAGTGAAAAAATTTTTGGCAGAATGAAATTTATTCTGTTGTGTAGTTGTTTTGATAGGGTTGCAGTTCTGCTCAGCTGATATTTTTTGGTATTCAATGAATAGCATTTTGAAGTGTGTGCATGTACAGACTTGTGTTTTGGGGGACGGGAGGTTGAGGGCTGAGGGAGGGACAATCCTCGGAGTGGCTCACAACAAACAGAAAACTTTAATAAACTCAATTTAAAAAAAATCTAAAAGTGATCACAAAGTAACACAACTAGAGAACAGAGCGAAACTGGGAGCTAACCTGGGAAAAAACCACAGCCACAAACACAAAATAACTATATTTACAAAGCACACAGAGACAAAGGAAAACAGCCACACGGGACCACCAAGGAATAACACAAAAACAGGCCCTTAAATACACTAATAACAAGACACAATGCAGGATAGGTGGGAGCGATAACCAAAACAATCATTAAGACCATGGGGCAACAAGGAACAGGTCGGTAATTTACAATTAACAGATACTACAGACTAGGAAACAGGAACAAACACTGAGAGCTATTAATACTAGGAGAGGTCAAGTAACACAATTAAAGCAGAACACAGACAAGGCACAGGCAGTATAACCATAAACAAGATATAACATAACCAGACACACACCAGGGGATAAAATAAAACCAAAATACAGCACAAAGGTGAGGCAGGCCTTTGGTCAGCCTCAAACTCATGACAGGAGGGGTGTTAGCCTCTGAGCCACACACACAACCCATTCAGCAATACAGTAGCATGGGGAGGGGTGGGGAAACATACTGAGGGAACACCGAAGGGGATGGCCAGCGGGAACTCCCGAACACATGGGGAAAAGACGCATGGGACAGGGCCAGGGGGGCTCCGACCTGGGCAGCCACACATTCTCCATCAAGGTCAGGTCTGCCAGGAACCTAGGGGTAATGATAGACAACCAGCTGTCCTTTGCTGAGCACATAAAAGGAAATTAGAAAGATCAGGCTGTTTCTGTCTGACCATGCAGTTCGGCTTCTAGTCCAGGCACTACTTATCTCGCAACTAGACTATTGAAACTCTCTACTAGCGGGATTTCTATCTTGTGCTATCAGACCACAGCAAATGATTCAAAACATAGCAGCATGTCTGATGTTCATTCAACCTAAAGGTTGCCACCTTTCCTTGTCTGTCTTCAGTGGTTCCCTATTGGTGCTCGTAAGAAGTTCAAGTCCCTGGTTCTGGCTTGCAGGTCCATCAATAGACAGGCACCTATCTACATCAAAAGGTTCCCATCTTGCCCCCTTTGGTCAGCAAACCAACACCGCTTGGAGCTCCTTCCACCACGTGAGAAGTATCACTCCAGATCGTTCTTTTGTATGGTTCCCCATTGGTGGAATGAGCTGGCGAACCACGTCCAGTCATCAGACCCCCTTTTTCACTTTCAAGACACATCTGTTCCATGAATTCCTCTACTAGCCTGATGCCCCCTTATGTTCCCCAAATGTTCTTACGTTGCATTTCTTATTATTGAATAGTCATATTAGACTCTAGCTTTGTTAGAAGTTATTCAGTAGCTCCAATACTGCTTACACTTCTACTTGGGCATTCACTGGAAGCTCAGCCTAACTGTACCTGGTCATTCACTGGAAGCTCAGCCTAGCTGCAGTTATGCATAGTTGACTCCTTGTCAGCACGTACGTTTGCAATGTGCTATTAGCCTCACCTTTACATTGCTTTGGACAAAAGCGTCAACTAAGCATGTCAATTTATATAACTGACCTTGTGTTCAGAACACAAGCTTCCATCTCAACTGTACATATGTGTATATGTCCCACCGGAGAGCAAATGGGATTTGAGTAAAGAAATATTCCAATGTACCTTAAGTCGTACATTTGCAAATAGCAAACAGAGCATAATTTAATTTAATTTTTGCCGCAAACAATTGACAGAGTCTGCGAGCACAATCAGAGAGACATAATTAACTCGGACAACCCATTTTAAATACGTATCATTTGGGATACTTTAATTTTGAGGCAGTACCTGTTTTTACTCAGCGTTCACATGCATGGTAACCCACCATAAGAAACGTATCTGTCTTTTTCCACTCTAGTTACCAGTTACCTGTTGTAACCAACCCCCATGAAAAATGACACCAGGTACGTACTCTGGTACCCAATCCTTTACCTTTGTGTTCACCCGCTTTCTTTAATTTATTATTACACATTCTAAGTAACGAAACATACGCAGAATATTACAAGCGATAAAAATTGTTTCAGAAAGTATATCAATCCTATTTTTCCTCTGGAGTTTTAAAGGTTGCACACATAATGATTTGAGGTGAGAATATCTGGTCGGTAAGCAGACTGACGCGCGTTACCGGCGAGCTGCTGGACAGTAACACGCGTCTGCCGTGTGGTTAAGCTGCCCGCCGAGGCACCGGCCCCTCCGGTAATCGAGCGCTGCCGCCGCCGTCCTCTACCGTTATGTATTTTTTAACCGGTTGGCCCCGAAAGTTACTTTGCCCTCTTAGAAGAGAGGAAGAATCGTTTCGCATCCAGCCGAGTTTCCAGAGGTTTTACTTTGCCGTGCTGTCAGAAACTCATCTCGACATCTGGTTTAGTTGGGTAAGTGGTGCGTTTTACCGGGACGCCAACTTTGGTTTGGGTGCACTGGGGGGCAGGGGGGGGGGGGGGGTCCTGCGCAGAACCGGGCGGGCTTTACGGTATCAGTGCCGACATCGGTCATTGCTGTAGCATGTCGGCTTTCCGCAAGCAGCGGTGGTCCATGCAGCCTTCCGATCCATCACGATAACTTCTATTATTAGTGGAGTCAACGCCGGTAACCTTCCCTAATTCAAATGAGATGTACTTCCTTTTCAGTTTAGGAGACCTCGTCAATTACAGTGTAAAGGCAGAACAATTCACGCTCATCTTGACGATTTAACTTAAGTATAATTCTAAAGTATAATTCACTTTAATTTTAACCAAAAAGATGTCATATAATTGACCTAGATGCGCGTACAACTACGTCGGGAAATCAAACTTCGGTTTACTTGTTCAATGGCTTATTTCTATCCTGTTGATCTTCCTTCACCACCTTGGCCAACACTATATGTACAACTATGACTGTCAAACTGAATACTGTTGTTTAACAAACACTTCATGAAACCTTTATCTTTACAACGCACCCTTACTCATCGTGATTATGTATGAAATCAATTTTGATATTTGCATCTAGTGTCGTCCGCTAGGACCAGAATTTAATGAAATACGCGTCCTGATGGTCGTCATACAGTACTATAACCATGGGTGTTTTCGTGTGTCACGAGTCAGGTCATTATCTATTCAACTTATTAATAGGTTAGTAATGGAGAACCGACTAGTAATAACAGAAATATTACAGATCCTGTAACTGGATTCTCAGCGAACTTTGCAATAAGATACGACTAAGAACCAGCTCAACCCAGTGACATATTTATACGGATATGCGGTATATTAATGTTGCCACGTCATATTGGAAAACCCCATTGCTGACAGGAAAGAAGTTTTGTTTAATTTAATGGGATGGAGATAAGCACTCTGGACAGGTACAAGCTGTGAAATGTGGGTTTAAACAGATCTGTTTCCGTGCTTGAGGTTTCTGATATCTGTGCGCCTTCATTCTCAAAACTGAGTAACCCACCCGTAGTGTGCAGTTGTTATGGCATCACACAGCACTGTTCATATAAAGCATGTATACTGTCTATACAGCATATGTGTGTATACCAGAAGATGGAATTCCCACCTGCTATACTGTGTCTGTTGGGCTTGCATGTTTTCCCAGTGCCTCAGAGGACTCTGGTTTCTTTTTGTAGTCCAGAGACATACACTTAGGCACATGGTCGTCTTGAAATTACCCATAGTGCCGTGCATGAGTGTGTGTCCTCCCATGGGCTGGCATCCTGTCCGCAGAATTCCCCTGCTTGTGGTATATTGCGTGGTAAATTCTCTAGCTGCTCCTCGCCCCATAACCCTAAAACAGCAGCGCTTCCCAATCCGGTCCTCAGGGACCTACTGTCGGTCCAAGTTTTTGCTCCCTCTGAGCTCCCTGCCAGACAGTCCAAGTTTTTGCTCCCTCTGAGCTCCCTGCCAGACAGTCCATGTTTTTGCTCCCTCTGAGCTCCCTGCCAGACGGTCCATGTTTTTGCTCCCTCTGAGCTCCCTGCCAGACGGTCCATGTTTTTGCTCCCTCTGAGCTCCCTGCCAGATGGTCCATGTTTTTGCTCCCTCTCTGCTCTTGGCAGCAAAAACGTGGATTGTGTGTGGTTCCACAAGGATTGGATTGGGAAACACTGCTATACAGAATAAGTGGTCGGAATATGGATGGCTGTATAGATAGAACGGAAATTCTTCAGAAGGTCTGCATCTTGATATAGTTTCATGATGCAACGATGTGACACTCTTGTTGTGTAAATTGAAGTTTTGATGTCAATTAAGTAACAAACAATCACATTTCTTTGTCTTCTCTCTGTCGGCAGCCCAGTGCCCTAATCGTGAGCTACAGCGAATCTGCAGAGTCAGCAGCCCGGTTTGGACCATATCAGCAGGCAGAATGGAAGACGGATGATACCATGATTGCTTTAGGGGTAGGTACATGTAATAGGGTCGTGCTTGAAGTCTGCTGTACTTAATTTTCAAATGTATGTGTGTTCTTATGCAATGTAAAAGATGTGCTATTCTGTCATTGTGTTGTACTCTTTCACTCGGTGGTGAGAATTGGGTGAAATAACCTTTACATTTCCAGTCAGAATATGGGTGGGAGGGTTATTTTGCTACATGCGAAAGCAGAAATCCCAAGAGGTTATTTGCGTGCTTTGTGTCATGCAAATCTCTAAATGGCCGAAGTTTAGTAAGGACGTGCTATTAAAGCCAAGTATCTCTGCGTGTCGACCTGTGAAGATGAACACGCCTCATATACCAACGTCCCCAGATGTCTTGGGGTGCTAAAGTTTCTCAGGGTAGTAACAGGAGCATAATCTTTGCATGTACGATTGGCTTAGTGCTGCTGACTCAGCTTGCTGACAATGGGCAGTCGTCCACTCATTAGAGGAAGAGAAACCACCAGCCGCTTTTAGTGGGGGAAGCTTTTTTTAAAACGTATTTTTAGTTGGGTATTTATGCCAGACGTCTGTTTCCACAGGTTTACAAATGTGCTGCCAGGCTATTTATCGTCACTCTATTTTCACAAATCAATTTTAAGGAGTGTTTATCTCCACCATTCCAGTGTCACATTGACGCTTTGGTCTTTTTTATTTTATAGAATTCTTGGCAATAAATAGCTATAGACACTTTAGAGAGTAAATCAGCAGTGTTCTTAATTGACATTTAATTACACAGGACTTAGAGTTTCTCTTCTAGCTCTGTGCATTACAGACAGTACCATTCCCTTTTGTCATTTGCCATAAATGTGCACAGAGGCTATTTTAATTGTGTAGGTCGGAGCAAACATTCTCTTTCATGCAGTGAATCTGTATGCAGTGTTTCTGTCATCATCAGTGTGTAGCAACAACATCTATCCAGCTACATATATATGCGTTATGTGTTCGAAAAAAAACATTTGATTATGGTAAATCACCCATGTTCGTGACTTTATTCAGTGGTATTGCTCATTTCAGTAGAAAACCACAACACTTACGGAGAACTGAATGACTGTACAATTTACTACTTCTCAGATTTGCAGCATGGTTTGCAGAGTGCAAGTATCGGCCTATGGAAGTTTGATCTGGTGGATTGATATGGAAATCTGGACACATGCATTCAGGCTTTAATGGAACAGGTATAGTGCCTGTCAGTTGTGTGGTGGTCTGTAGGCTGTCAGTTGCGTGGTGGTCTGTAGGCTGTCAGTTGCGTGGTGGTCTGTAGGATTTTCTGTAAATGTCTTGACAAAGGGACGTAGTTATCGTCTCTCTGGCCATCTTTCATCGTGATATAGCTAAGGACTGTGCAAAAAGACTTGTTGAGAATTGCTTCGTGATTATAGGTGCTGCTGTAAACTGTGAAACGGGCCTGTTGGAAATCTCTGAAAGTCAGGCATCCCTCCTCAATCATAATGAATATTCCACAGTGTCTCTTTTCTGGATGAACCATTTTCAGTGTTGTCCCATTGTCAAAAGATACATGCATTCATACATACTTTGAAAATCCCAAGTCACACAGAACACGAGTACAATGACAATACAGACAGTATAAAAGCAGATCGATGGAGTAGCGTGACTGCTGCTTGTGGTCTGCATGGCCTAGCTCAACAGCAATGTCATTATTCTTCCAAGCACAAGACTTGACCCGGCAACCTTCTAATGATAGGCACAGGGGCTTAATCCACGGAGCCACAGACTGACTCTGAGAAAGCAGTCTAGTTACAGCTAACAGGAATGAGCACAGACCGTTCAGGAGGCGGGACTGGACAGTATTGTGGCTGACAGGAAACAGGAGCCCAGGAACTATTCCAGGCAAGTCGTGATGGAATGTGTTGATAGCTGATGGTGCTCATGCATGTGGCGCGGTGAAATGGATAAGCAGTGTTCGTCATGATGACTGATACTTTCATCACCATCCTCCTTTCTCTTGCTGGCTCCAGGTTGTCCTGGGTCAGCCCTGTTATACAACCAGTCCTACAAATGCCCTTCCCACGTAATCACCCTTTTATTTCCCATGGTGCATTTGGAAAGGTTATGATGAAAGTTACATCCGCACTACAGCAAAGGGCTGTGAGGTAACTAGGAGGAAGTAAAGGCAACCTGAGCACCGCTGTCCAAAAATCCCTTCTGTCACATAACAGTGAGACATTCACAGGGGCAGGAATGTTAAAAATCTCACAGTCAAAACTTTGTTAAAAAATTTGCTGAAATTCTTTATCGATGTAAAAATAAAACAGCATTTATTAAACATTGGTCTTAACAAACACCCAGAGTCTGTGCCTGGAATATCTGAGGCTTTGACTATAATTGACTATATATCACAGAGCCACCATACGTTTGTTTGCTGTAATACAAATATTACCTAAACACACCACTACGAAGAACATTTATTTGGATGTTTCTTGATTTTTAACAGGAAATGATTGTGATGATTTTGGAACGTAAATGTTAAAACAAAAATCAACGTTAACTTAATCACATGTTGACCAAAATTAATCAAAACTTGACTCAAACTCACTGAAATGTTCCTTCACTCTCAAAGTATTAAAGGTGAGTTTTATGAATTAATCTGAAATGTCAATCCTGTTTTTATCATTTTATCCACTTATCAAACCATGGAACATCACCACAGTTTAGTTGGTAAAAGAGAGCGTCACAGGAACGGTGGAATGACTGAATGTAAGTGATAGGTGACCAGTTATTTTCAATAAAATTAAACCAGATGTAGCTGTATAATTGCTCTATACGTGGATCTCCAAACATTGCTCTTCGTACAGAATTTGTTCTTGATTACAGCACTTTTTTTCTAATAAATGTGATCTTTCTGTGGCACTTTCTGTGAAGGAGAAGTGGATTTCTGCATTAGATTTGCCTTCCTATTGGTGGTTTCTAGAACTTAAATTAAGTTTGCTGCTGACTTGTACAATTCAAATGTGTAAATGTCTTTCTTGTTTTATGGGTTTTCACTCATCCTCATTACACGCGGAAGCGTACGCCGATGAAATGAAGAAGCAGAGCTGTCAGAAGCTTTGTCCTGTTTGCGAAGTTATTCGACCAAATGTCTGTTTTCCGGTTTATAAATGAGATCCACTGTCAGTGAACGCCGCTCCAGAAGCAGATTATCCTTGTTTCTGTTCAGGTGACTCATTCAGTGCTGGTTAAGATCAGGTTTAACATTTACAGAGCTTTCGTTATGCAAATCCTGGAGCTGGGCACTCTTTCCTAGAAGTTTAAAGTTTAACTATCTTAACACATGTACAGTCCTTGATATCAGGGGTCAGGGGGATGCTGTTATTTTGGTGGTGATGGGCTGATATGATTGGGAGCCTATGCTTTATGTAACATGGTTGTGCTTCAGGCAGGTTGCTAAGGGCAGCATTAAGCAGTGCCACTGGATGCCCTTACTCTAGCATTTTACTCCGGATAATGCAGTGGCTGTTTATCCTCTTGCTTCGGCTGTTTTGCAGTGGTCAGCACTGCTTGCCGGAGCCCCCTGTGACTTTATACCGCTATGTGGTGAAAGTCGGCTGACGCCGTGGCCTTAAACCGTTCTCGCTTTTTGTCGTCCGTGTAGCCAAGGTGGAAGACAGCAGGCGCCTCTGAGGTTATGCCACCGCTGTAATTTCAGACGGGGGGAAGTTTCCACGCCGTCATGCCCTCGCCCGCCTGTTCCTATCTCTGCTCCCTCCCTGCCGGCTGACTCTGCTCTGTGGGGTGACGGTGGAACGGAAGCTCGTTGGCCCAATGGGCTGCAAGCGGCACCTATGGGATTGTGTTTCCCCGCGAGTTTGATTTAACGCCTCACTGCATCAGAAAGCCTCTGCTAGGATTCTATACAAGCCAAGCCTATAAATAATTTCTCACCCTTTTTTTCCGATCTAGACTGCCAATGGATACCTACTCATGTTTGATGTAGTGAATGACAAGGAGGACAAATTCCCGTATGGGCCTCAGCATCCTAAGTAAGCCTTTGTGGGTTTTCCTCTGCCTGGGTTTTTAGTGACCAACATTTGTTAGCTCTAGTGACCCTTTGAATGACAAACTTGTGTTGTATGTCTGAGAAAGATATCTGTCCAACATAATGTTCATTTGTATGCTACGTATTCTCTAGAGTTTACAGCTTTCTGATCAGCTGCTTGAGGTGTTTAGATGTCCATGTTTCATAGACAGGATGAACTATTGTTGTGGAACTAAATGAAACTAAATGTATTTCACCATTCAGTTCATTGTCTCATAATGTGGGATATTTAACAAGTCTGGAACAATCCGGTCCTCGGGAACCCACAGACAGTCCACGTTTTGGCAAAGATGTGGACTGCCTGGCAGGGAACTGGGAGGGAGTGAAAACGTGGACAGATGTGGGTCCCATGGACTGGAATGGGAATCACTGGTCTATAGTTACAGAGAGTTTTTGGTTGGTTTGATGAGATGGAGTACTGCTGGCTTTGAATACCCATTTCATAAAGCTTTAATGTGTGCGTGGTTCTTCCAGGTGGCGTCTTCACATGCTCACTGCTGGGCAGAAGGAAAAGCAGAGTGTCCCCACCCTTAGCCTGGAGATGAAGAAGCCATTGAATCTGGAGGCCCCCATTAATAGGTCAAGCAGAAGAATTGCCCTTGTTCTGTTTCAGATGAGTTAAATGTGAAAAGTGATGAGGAATGAGAGGTGTGTTGGGTTTCAGCCTACAGTGTGTCCATGAGGAGCTGGTGGCGTGCACGGCAGACGGGTACCTGCATGTCCTGCGATGGCACGGGGCATCCAGCACCCGCAGGGCTATCAGTGTCTGCAGCGTGCCCTTCGCCTTGGAACTGCACCCCGATCAGGGTGTGTCAGGAACCCTTCCCACATCCGCGGCTCTGACACCTGCCTTTCCGTCCCCTATCATTACAGGCTGTGTCATTTCCTGCCTCACAACTCCGGTGGGGGGGGGGTTTCCAGTCATCCCTAACCCTGCTTCTGAGTTGGTGTGTGTCTGTGTGTCTGTGTGTCTGTGCGCGCATGAGTGGGTTAAGTATTTATGACACTGTCGGATGTTTACTCAATTTGATAAAAATCTGTAACTGCAATCAAAAAACTAAAAATGCCAAAAATTTTGTATTTTGATGGCTACTTATGGTTAAGGTTATGGCTGGGAAGGGGTTAAGGCCGTCATGGTGGGATTAGAGTTTTCCAGTAGAAATGGATGGAAAGTCCTCACAAAGATATAATTACAAGCCTGTGTGTGTATGTGTAACAAAAGCTGTCTATATACAGTACCAGTCAAAAGTCTGGACACACCTACTGAAAATTATTTGTTCTTCAACAAGATAGCGACCCTAAGCAGACCTTGAGGTTATGTAAGTACTGTGTTATCTTATGAATAAGGAAAAAGATGGAGCGCTGTGACAGATGACCTGGCCCCCACAATCCCCCGACCTAAACCCTATTCAGCTGGTTTGTGATGAGTTTGATCGAAGAGTAAGAGCAAGGTAGCCAATCTGTGCCCAGAATCAGTGGAAACTCCTTCAGGACTGTTGGAGAAGCGTTCCAGGTGGCTACATGTGGAAGCTGATTTAAGGTATGGCAAGAGTCTGCGATTCCGTCATCAAAGAGAAAGGGGGCTATTTTGAAGAGTCTATAATGTGAGAAAATTTTGAGATGCATTTCTCTTAGTCATTGCAGTATCTGATATATACCACTTCATTGCCTCGAGGCCTTTTACTATGAGGTGAATAAAACAGCTGTAATAGAAACAAATGCATTAAAAGCAGGTGTATCCAGACTTTTGACTGCTACTGTATGTCTAATATGTGTGTTTTTATCTCGGATAGATGACATTATTGTGTGGTTTGTCAACAAGCCACGACATTAGACCAGCGGCGAGTGGCTCAATGGCCAGCCCCCCCAATCCAAACGACTCTGCCCCCTGGACCCCCTGGACCCCCTGGTTCAGGAGTGACTGACCCCCTTCCCCGTGTCTGACAGGTGCACACGGCCCCTTGCCGGGCCTGGACGGTGTGCACATTCGGGACATGGAGCACTGCTTAACACTGGATGGCGTTGCCGTGGTGCTGGGCGACGGTCGGCTAGGCTTTATCAGCCCCACCTCTGGGGGGTTTGCGGCAAATGTGAGCACTGCCCCACCCTCTCCGTCCCTTCAAACGGCAGGTGCACCACAGATGTTTACTGTCGAATGTTTTAAATGTCAGTAAGTTAAATTTCTGCTTAATCACCGTAGCATGTCACATACTCCACACACGTGATGGCATTTAAATACCCCAGCGAAGGCTTATTTGTTTACCTTTGGAGACTCATAGAGGCATGGAGGGTTTTCAATGCGACTCACCCCTCTGTCCCCCTGCAGCAGCTGCAGGGCGTCTGGGCTGCCGACATCAAGGATGGGCTGTGCGTGGCCGTCAATGACAAATACCGGCTGATGGCGTTTGGCTGTGCCAGGTGTGTGTGTGTGTGTGTGTGTGTGTGTGTGAGTGTGTGAAGAACAGGAGAAGCTCAGCCATGCCAGTTACACTGGGTGTCTATCGGCTTGTGGCCTTGGGAGCTCGTTTACTTGTGAGTTAAGCCCAAAGTATGTTACAGTACAAGCTTGTAGCTTCACTCTTACTTAAAGACTAGGTATTTTAAAATGTACATTGTTTTACTTTCCACCCTTGTACACATTTAATAGGTTGTCTTGTCCTTTTTTTAGTCTCTCCAGCTTATTATATAGTAATAATGGCCTGATTTGTAATTAAGTCGATGTAATTCTGTTCCTATTTGTTGTGTTTGCTTTCACTCAGGGGTGTAATGGTGCACAAAATTCCCAATTTGGTACATACCTCAGTTTTGGGTTCACGGTTTGGTACAATTTCTGTTCAGCACAGAAAACAAAATTTGTTTTGAAATTATTTATTATTAAAAGGCAATGTGTCTGTCAGCGTGACTGAACAAAATATTTGCACATTGCAAAAATAAATATGTAAAATAAACTTGAATTTAATTGGTCTTATCAACTGTTTCCAGCATTATTCCAGTTAGTAGGAAAACCAAAACGTTCCCAAAGCAGGAAAAGCCAATTATGACTGAGGGTAACCAGCCTTAGCTGTAAGCAGCTCACAAGCTGTGTCCCATTTCAGGTACTGCAGCCTCCTAAGGCCGCATTTGAAGCCTCAATGCATGGCAGCGGTGCCACAAGTCTGTCCCATTTCGAAGGATCCTTCATATGCGGCACAGAAATGTTTTCCAAGTTGAGCATCTACTGTACTTATAAATTTAGGTTCCGCCCGTGTCAAGAAATATATTCATTAATTTAATGTGCATTTCGAACCAAAAATCATATTTTGTACTGACATGGATGTAATTCTGATCTTATCTGTTGAATTTGTGTTCAGTGATTCTGTAGTGAAATGGCTGTAGTTGTAATTGTATCTGTTGCCTTTGCTTTGAGCCATACTGTATTGAAATGGGTGTAATCCTGATCGCATCTGTTGTTTGCTTTCAGTGGTTCTGTCTTGGTGTATACCTTAGATGGTGCCACAGGCTCGATGCAGCTGTCTCACAAACTGGAACTGACACCAAAACGCTACCCAGGTAAATCCCACAGCCTCTTCCGCCTGGCCCGGCGGTCCCCAGCTTTGTCTATTATCTGAGGTAGTTCCTCCATCTCTCATTCAAAGACATCCTTTTATGAGTGACTGCAATGAGCTTTTCTCTTGCATGGTTTCTAAATGTTCAATATAAACATGTAAACCTGCATGTTGAGCACAGTATTGGATGATTGCATGAACGGGCTTTGCTCTGGTTACAATTAATCGATTACCGACATTTTATAAAGGTCGCTTTTCGTTGGTTTCCAATACCAACGAGGTTTTCATTAGGCAGCTAATGTCTGCTAACTCTTGACAGATGTTTGGAATAAAACTGGACGGGTGAAGCTGATACGGTGGTCACCTGACTGCAGCGTCGTCATGGTGACTTGGGAGCGCGGCGGCCTGTCTCTGTGGAGTGTGTTCGGGGCCCAGCTTGTCTGCACACTGAGCGAGGACTTTGCGTGAGTGATGTTCATTGTGCTTCCTGGCACGGCTTTGATGGTATCTCCAGTCCATCTGTCATGCTTGTGATTAACACACTGTTTTTCGTCACCTTGTTATTTTGTGTTGTTTGTGTCATAAAACTGCTAATGACACATGATTCTATTAATCGGAAATCGCCATGTGCGAGGTGTTGCAGTAAAACAAATTTGCAATATAATGAGGTATCACCTGAGGTGCAAATTGTTTGTTGCATGGTTCTGTTCACTTGTATGTTAAAAAGTTGCACTTAAACTACATTTTAGTCATCTGAAAACCTCTGCTATTTGTAGATCTTTTGAGACATACATAATTGTGTAGGACAGTGTTTCCCAATCCAATCCTCGGGGACCCCAGACAGTCCACATTTTTGCTCCCTTCCAGCATGCAGCCAATCTAGAACACCGACTACCTGGCATGGGTGTGTTGAGAGGTGGGAGGGAGCAAAATGTGAACTATTTGGGGTCCCTGAGGACTGGATTGGGAAACACTGGTTCAGGGGGATTGAGGAAGGGGTAAACCCCAGATGGGATCTCAGTCTATACCAGCACTTGCACAATAAGGAATTAGGGAAAACATTTGGCCTAGTTACAAATCATGACTACAGAACACTCTGAGGAACACAGGGAGAGTGTATAAATGTTATACAACACAGGGAGAATGTATAAACTCCACACAGTCACAGAGCGGGGATGGGACTTGAACCCCTGATTCTGTAAGTGTGAACAACAGCACTACATACTGAGCCACTGTGCTCATGGCTGCTCATTGGAAGCCCAGATGAACTCAACACTGAAAAGAGTTTGGCAATAAGCTTATGCATCTCGGACAGGTGGATTTTCACACAAACACGTTCCACATGTGCCAGCAGAACATCACACTGCAGCCACCACTTATTCTTCTTGTTCATAGGTACCGGTTAGATGGCACCAAGAAAGAGCCCTTGAAGATCAACTCCATGGTGCGTCCAAGATACTGGACATTTTGCTCTTTCTGTGGTAGCAGTGGCCACTGACAAAGTGTGAAAGTTAAAGGCCTTGTTGTAATTTGAACATCCCGTCTGTAACTTGTGGCAGAGGAGAACTTGCTAGATATTGCTCGTTTTTTTTTTTTTGTACTTTTTTAGTTAATTATGACACTTGCTGATGCCCTGTGTTTCATTGCTTTCTTTAGTTTTAGATGGTATTATGTAGCAGCTAATTTTGTGTTCACTGCACTTCTGTTTTTAATATGGCACAAATGCACAGAAAAGCGACGCTGATTTGCTGACTTTCAGTTGCATATCATCTACTGCAGATGTGTTTTCACTGGTCATGTATTATATTTACAGTAAAGGGGCTCTATGTAGTGACCTATGACCTCTGACCTGCCACAGTTTGCAGTCTTATCTCTCTCGACTTCACGCAGAGCTTGATTGCAGTGCCCTGTTTGAGGTATGGTTGTTAGGCTTGCACACCCCCTGACTGGGTAAGGTGGGCTGTTCCTCATCTAGGCATGGGGGCCAGAGGGGTACCATCTGTGGGTGCTGGCCAGCAGTGGTGGTGAAGGGGCATGTGACAGACCTCGACAGTCGGAGATACTGCAGTTCCAATTCCTCAGGAGTGCCTCAGCAGCCAATGGGTGCACGGTGAGCAGAGGAAGGAGGCGGGGCTTCTGGGGAAAAATGGCACCCTGGCAATAGCATAAAGGGCTACAGTTTATTCACACCCAGTGGGTAGAGTAGTGTTTCCCAACCCGGTCCTCGGGGTCCCAGAGACGGTCCATGTTTTTGCTCCCTCCCAGCTGCCTGCCAGACTGTCCACATTTATGTAAAAACATGGACTGTCTGTGGGTTCCTGAGGACCGGATTGAGAAACAGCGACGTAGAGGATGGTGCCATGTGACACATCTCCCTGCCTCTCTTTCTATGCCCACCTTCAGAACGACCTGGGGCAGGTGGTCCTGCTGGGGCAGGACAGGCTGTACCTGATGCCCGGAGACGCGGCCCAGCCTCACCCATACTCGGGGCCCCAGAGACAGGGCAGCAGTAGCTTCTGTGCTGAAGGCCTGTCCTCCACTTCAACCTCTCAGGGATCAGGCACTGTGCTGGGCTACAGACACTGGCATGTCGTGCAGGTGAGGAGAGCCAATGGCATGCCCAGTGCTTGGCGTGCAGGTGAGGAGAGCCAATGGCATGCCCAGTGCTTGGCGTGCAGGTGAGGAGAGCCAATGGCATGCCCAGTGCTTGGCGTGCAGGCGAGGAGAGC